TATCTCTGGGGGAAAGAATGTGGAAAGGATAAGGGACAGATTGTCACCCTCCCTCCCTTCCTCTTCCATCTTCCCTTCCACTCTAAGTATTAATGGAATATCACTTTTCACCCAGTCCCGGCAGGGAGTATTGTCATTATTCCCATTTTACAGAAGAGGAAACTGAGGCCCAGAGGGCTTGGGTAACCTGTCAAAGCCACCCAGGCTAGTAAGCAAGCGGTGGAGGGAGCAGGAACTGGAAACTTCCTCAGGCCAAGCTTTCTGTGGGCTTTTCCCATCGGTCTTGCCTCTCCCACCCTCTGCTGAGCTGGGCTGTGGGCAGGGGCACCCTGGGGCCAGCCTCTTCCCAGTAGGTGTTCTGGGGGCCGTGTGACTCTTGGGGGTCGAGTTGGGGTGACCCATCTCTGAGATCTGCCAGGTTACAGTGACCTGGGGCCAGGGGCTGGGCAGTGAGAAAACTCAGTAGTGGCCCAGGGGAAGGGCAGGCAGGAGGAGCTGAGCTTTTGAATTTTGTGGCTCCGGGTCCTTCCAAGTGGCAACCACCTGTAAGGACAGGTTGCCACTGGCAATTACAGAGCCGATTACAGAGCCGCATTCAGGGACAGCCTGGGTTTCCCATCGCCTCCAGATGGCTGTCCCTCCCCTGACCCCCAGGTCTGCGTGCAGGTGGTTCATGGTCAGCGCAGTTCTGCACACGTGGTTTGAATGGGTGAGGTTCCGAGCCTTCTGGGAAAGGGGGAGGGAGCTGGGGGCTGGCCCTTGCCGGGGCAGCGCTGGGAAGGCCGGAGGGCGACCACCAAGTCCCAGGGCAGCCCTGCCCAGGCCCCGGGGGCACCGGGTCTCCGGGTGGAAGTGCAGGTGAGTGAGTGGATTTTGCTTTGAGAATCTCACCTCCACATCCCTCATCACAGCAACTCGGAGGGAGCGTGGGGTTAGGAAAACAGATCAGGAAGATGTAACATCAGAGCAGCGTTCTTTATTCTGGCAGTTTTTAGCTGTGTGGCCGTACGTGTGCCCCCTGCCCCCACCTCAGTCTGCTTATCTGTGTAGGGGGGTGGGAATGCTCGGAGTTGGGGTGATTGCATGAGCGAGCACGGTGAGAAACGCTACGAGCTGCGCTCTGGGCTGCAGGGGACAGGTGTGTGTTACCTGTACGGAGAGCAAAGACGAACTCAGGTGCCCCGACCCTCCAGCACAAGGCGCTGCTCGGTGTCAGGCACAAGGAGTGGCTTGAGAACAAGTCACTTTCTCCTGCTTCAATGCCACATCCCACATCCTAAGAAAAGGCCACGCCCTGGCCGGGTGGCTCAGTGGATTGGAGCTTCATCCCAAACACCCAGGCCACGCCCTGGCCGGTGGCAGGTTAGGCTCCTGGTCAGGGCACATGCCTAGGTTTCAGATTCCATCCCAGGTTGGGGAGTGTACAGAAGGCAACCCATTGATGTTTCTCTCTCTCTCCCCGTCCTTCTCCCTCTCTCCTTTCCCCCTTCCTCTCTCCCTAAATAATCAATTTTAAAAGCCCACACATACCCTTGGGTGAGGCTTAAAAAAAAAAAGAGCTTTAAGACTTGATGGAATCATCTTCCTATCTGACTTGGAGCCTCTCTTGGGGAATTTTACCCAGGGATGTAGGCTCTGCTTGTCTGCTCTCCACATCCTCTCCAAACGGTCTGACAACATGGACGCGGGACTTCAGTCCCCTGTCTGTTACTGGCTCAGTGGTCATAACGCTTTGAAGTAGGTGTTTATTCAGTCCAGGCGTGGAATTTAGTGCAGCTGAGTTGGCCCCAGCGAGTTAGCCCCGGTGCAGCCTCTGGGTTGGTCCGAGTCAGCTCCCAGCCCGTTAGCCTCTGAGTCCCTGGTTGAGTGGACCTTCCAGCAGCCCCCCGCTTAGGTGCCCAAGGACCCCCGCTTCCATCGCCTGTGCGGTGGGAAGACGGGAAGACGGGAGTGGAGGTGTGTGTGTGCTTTTCTCAGGTAGGAATGTATCTGGCATCTCAGGAATCTGCCCAGAGGCTGAGCTCAGACAGCTGGTTCTGCCCGCCCAGCCCTCAGTCCGGGTCACGGTCTCCTTGAAAGCATTCCCTCCCCCACCTCCCACCTCCGGGGCCCCAGGGTGCCCACCCCGATGACTCACACAGCTGCCCTGTGGAATCCAACTCCCGGGGTTAAACACACAGGCCTGGCGTCAGGCTGTCTGCATTGTATCCCCGGGGCCCCCCTCAGCTGTGCAGGGACCTTAAGCGAGTTATTCCCAGGGCCTCAGTGTCCTCACCTGTAAAATGGGCAAACAGCTGACTCTCGAGTAACTTAGGGACCCTGACCTCTGCATCATTGAAAATCTGTGTATAAATAACTTGGGCTCCCCCCAGAACGTAACTGCTAATAGTTTACTGATAACATAAACAGTCTAGGAACACATATTCTGTCTGCTATGTGTATTACATACTGGATGCTTCCAATAAAGTAAGCTAGAGAAAATAAGATGTTACTAAAAAATCAAAAGGAAGAGAAAATGCATTTATAGTACTGGACCTATTTATTGGAAAAAAAATCTGTATATAAGTTTAAATCTGTGCTGTTTGAGGGTCAGCTGTAATCACCTCTCCTTGGAGTTCTGCCCTCACAGCTCAGTGTCTGGCACATAGTACACACTCAATAAACATTGGCTGTTATTACTCTGAGTATCAGAGCCTCTAGGGGGGCCCGGAAAGGAGGTACCATTCAAGATGATCAGTGTTGTTACTGAGGGACTAGTCGTGCAGGGGTGGGGAACGTCCGGCCCGCGGGCCAGAGAAGGCCCACGGAATCCTTCGGTCTGGCCTTGCCAAGGCATCAGGGGTGAGCTAATTAAATGTTTGGCCAAAAATAGCAGGTTAATGTTTAAGCTGATTATTTTGTATGGCCTGACAGTGATGTTATAAATATCCAAATGGGCCCTGACCGGTTTGGCTCAGTGGATAGAGCGTTGGCCTGCGGACTGAAGGGTCCCGGGTTCGATTCCGGTCAAGGGCATATATACCTTGGTTGCGGGCACATCCCCAGTAGGAGGTGTGCAGGAGGCAGCTGATCGATGTTTCTCTCTCATCGATGTTTCTAACTCTATCCCTCTCCCTTCCTCTCTGTAAAAAATCAATAAGATATATTTTTTAAAAAATTTTAAAAAATAATAAATAAAATGAATAAATATCCAAATGGCCCTTGGCAGAAAAAAGGTTCCCCACCCCTGGACTAGGGTGAGCAGTGAGGGGAAGGTGATGGCAGGAAGCAAGGTTTCGGATTATCAGAGTAAATAAGATGCTCCAGGGACCTCGGGCCCTGTTTATTACGAGTCAGAAAAATTGAGGCGGATTCTATGCGCAGCCTCCGACCCTCGAGGTTCAGCTCCCGTGAGTCTCGCCCACCGAGAGGAACACTCCGGCTGCCTTTGCTGCGGTCAGGCTGCCTCGCACTGTTGTGATGCCAGGGCAACGCATCGTGCAAACACCGAGAACCCGGCCACGCTCACTTCCTCCCAACAGCGAGCAGTCATCGGGGTTTCCTCTCCCTTCACCCCGAGTCACCATCCCGGTTCCTGCACCCCAAGAAGCTGAGGGCTCAGCGCTGTCGCTGGCCTGGGGAGTCCTCCCCTGGGCCTGGGCCCAGAGCCCGACTGTTTCATGGGCCACGGGTAGGACTGGTCCCAGGAGGTGCAGAGACCACGGGGACCGGGGCGGGGTGGTGGGGGCAAAAGGCCCCTCTGTGACCTCAACACCCAGCCCAGTGCAGGGGACACAGGAGGCCTCAACAAGAGGCCCTCGGGGGACAAGAAATCCAGGAAGCTGGCAATGGAAATAGCCCAGCTGCTTGGGAAGGGAGAGAAACCCAAGACCAGCCCTCCCCCAACCCCTCATCCCCAGACTTGCAGAAGAGACCCCAAGGCCGCTCTGGGGGCCGCCACTTACCCAGGGCTCCTTGGCAGATGTCTGTGCGGGTGGCTCCTCCAACAATAAACTGGGGGTCATCGCAGATCTCCTGGGGATGAGACAGACCCCCAAAGTGCCGTCAGCCCAGCAGGCCACGTTTCTGCAGTTCGGATGCCTTGGTTCCCAGCGGGCATGTCACACCCCTTTTCCCCATGGCTGCAATCAGACGGCCCCGGGGTCCTCTTCTGACCCCGCTTCACGGGGCCCGATGGGTGGCAGGAGACACCCCGGCTGAGAAGGGGAGTCATTGCCCAGCGCTCCAAACTGCCGAGGGCCACACAGCACCCTCCTGTGCAGGCCGGTGGGCCCGCCCACACGCGGGAGCTGCCCGACCCGCCACCCCAGCCCCTCTCCTGCGTCCCTGCACGTCAGTCCTCTCACTTGCCTGGAATTTCTCCCTTCCCCATCCTCTCCTCCCCTTTTCCACCTCTGACCACTTTTCAAGACTCATTGCCACCTCCTCCATGAAGCCCTCCGTCCCAGCCCAGCCCTCACTCCTCTCTTTGATTCTAAGTCCCAGAGTATTTCTACTCTGCAATTCGGGTGTCAGTGGGGCTCTGTCTGGTTTTGCTGATGGGCATCCCTCTGTGTTCCTAGCACACACGTGTGCAGGCCACGGGAACGTGCCCAGCTTTCTGGATCCGTCTATGGGGTCATGGTGCTTGGAGCATCCTGTATTGTGAACCGGCTGTTGTCAGTACGTGCTGGTGCTGTATCTCCTGGTCCTCTCGGAACACAAGATGGGAAATGTCCCGTCACAGGTGAGGACACAGGCTGAGGAGCTAAGCAGCGTGTCTAAGGTGACCCCGCTCACCGGTTCCAGGCAGCGCGGGGCTAGAGGTGACCTTCCCTGGGGCAAATGCACACGCCCGGCTCCCCTGCTGCTGCTAATTAGTGACAAACCTCTGAGGCTGTTAAAGCCTCAGGATCGCCCTGCAAGCAGCCTGGGCAAGCCACCGTGGGCCGCTCTGCCCTCCACGGAGGCAGCCCTCAGTGCTTCCTGATTCTACAGGGCCCCACCCAAAGCCACAGAGGAAGTGGGGGCATCGATCTGGGCTTCTCAACCCAGCCCGGGGCCACCTGGTTGGGGCTCCACCCCACACCCTCCCTCGGGGGGGCCCCTCTCTGGCAAGCAGCATGTTTCCTGGGTGAGACCCGGATCCGGCCCCCGTCCATCCCGGAGCCACAGTGGGCAGCCCCGCACATCCCCCCCCGCCGGGCCTCCGCCTTGTCCCTTCCCTGCTCTGTGTGGCAGGTGACAGGGACAGTGGGAAAACGAGGCCACTTTGCCCGGGTCCTGCCAGCTGAGCACTTACGCCGGGGATGGAAGGACCGGGAGCCCAAGCATCGGATTGATAATCCTGCGGGCACCAAGCTCTGATGCCAGGAGGATTTTTCCATTATGTTTCTGCAACTTGCCTGCGTCGTCCTTGGCAGCCTCTCCAAGGGAGACAAAGTTCAGAGCGGCGCTTAGAGAGGCTGCAGGAAACTGAACCGTGCGCACAGCCCGGACTGTATGGGGTGGAATGTGGACCTAACAGTCCGAGGAAAGGGGGCTGAGGGCTTGGACTTGGGCCTCAGACGCCCTGGGTTTGAGTCTTGGCTCGGCCACTTCTTAGATGGGTTCTATGACCCTGCGAGGTACTCTTTGAGCCTCAGTTTCCTCATCTGCAAAATGGGCACAGTGATGACAGGCGTACCTACCGCTTAGGGTTGTTATGAGAGTTAGAGGAGATAATTAGGTAAGCGTGCCCTGGCGAACACTCTATAAACGTTAATTATTATTATTATTATTATTATTATGGAATAAGTTGATGGCAATCACTGAATTTGGAGGATGGAGATGCAGGTTTGAGGCTGAGCTCCGGTGACTCAACACATAACCCAGTCCAGTTTGCTCATCTAAAACGACAGCCTCTCGAACCCCAGGTCCAGCTCTCCTTCCCACGGCCCCTCTTCCTCTTCCCACGGGCAGCCATCTGCAACCAGGAGACCCCTCCTTAGTTCCCGGGGCTTACTCTGGCGCCCCCTACAGTCTGCGTCTGCCCGGCTGGAAGTCTGTCCCACCACAGTGCTCCCTTAAGTCACCAATGACTTGCTGAGGCCCCAACCGGGGCAACACAGGTCTGTTTCCCTGGCCGGACCCCGACCCCAGCAGGACAGTGGCAGAGAGGGCCACTGTGGGCTGTGGGCTGCAAACGCCCACAGGCCGGGCACAGTCCTGGCTCCGCCCCGGACACCTGCTTGAGCAAACACTTAACCTTCCCAAGTCTCGCTCTCTCCGCCCGTTGGATGGGAACATACCAGCCACACTGCCCTGGGTCCTGCAGTACACAGCCTGCCCCACCGCCAATGGCCCCAGATCTGTCTCCCCGTCTAGGAGTCCTGCGGGCATTTGCAACGATTGCTTTCACTGGCCCCTAGTGAGAAGGCAGTGCATATAGTTTACATACAGAGTTATCAATAATTTAGAGGCAGACGCTATCTGCACTGTGCCCGGTGTATAGGAGGTGCTCCATACATGCTTACTGGATGAATGAAAGAATAAGTCAATGGGTGTGCAAATTCCCTTTGTAAACTGTCAAGTGCTGCCCCCAGGTATGGTGAATACAGTCTCTTGTTTATCCCTCTCACAACCATAACTTCATTTGAGGCTTGTTACATTCCTGCATTCATTCATTCATTCATTCATCCACTCAGCCACAAATCGTCACTGACTTTTTGTTCTCAGGTGTATCCCAAGCGTTTAAGACAGTTTAATAGGTTCTCAATAAATGTCGCCGAAGGAGATGAATGAATGAATGAATGAATGCATTCCGTGGAAGGGAAGTGACCCTGCTCGGCACTGAGGACATATTGATGAATATAACGCAGGGTCCCCTGCAGTGCAGAGAAAGTGCAAATACAGGTGATTATATTTATAAATGGTAAAAAGTGCCAGGAAGGAAATGAGCCGGGTTTGTGATACAGAATATAATGCTGGGCTGGGGGCTGCTAAGCCTGGTCAGGAGAGAGGATTTCGGGGAGGGGACATCTGAGGACATCCCAAAGAATCGGAGTGAGCCAGACTCCGGACAACCAGGGGAGAGCGTCCCTGGCAGGTGGGAAGGCGGGAGGGAACCGGGCCTGGAAAGTGTGCAGGCATCGTGGCTTCTCTTCAGCGGTTCTCAACCTGTGGGTCGCGACCCCTTTGGGGGTCAAACAACCCTTTCCCAGGGGTCGCCTAAGACCATCGGAAAACACATCTACAATTACATATTGTTTTTGTGATGAATCACTATGCTTTCATGATGTTCAATTTGTAACCATGAAAATACATCCTGCATATCAGATATTTCCATGAGGATTCATCACAGTAGCAACATGACAGTGATGAAGTAGCCACGAAAATAATTTTAAGGTTGGGGGTCACCACAACACGAGGAACTGTATTGAAGGGTCTCGATATTAGGAAGGTTGAGAACCGCTGTAAGAAATGGAGGCAAAGAGGCCTGCATGTCTCAGGCCGGGTGCCTAGGGCATGTCCTATGCGCTGGCTGCCCAGGGCCGGGGTTTGGGGTCACAGAGAAGGTAAAGGGGGTGGGGGAGTTGGGGGGGCTCAGAGCAGTGGAGACAAGACGGGGATGCTTACTCTCCTAGGGAATTTAGAGGTTGGGTTTCGCAGGAAGCTGTGCGAAGGTTGGGTCCCATAGCGGGTAGAGCCAGCAGGGTGTCCGTGGGTAAGGAAGAAGCTAGATTAGGGAGCCAGCTGTCCCTAGGCCGGCCAGACCAGAGGACAGGGACACTGGGGAGCAAGCGGAGGGATGTGGAGGGACCCCGAGGTTTCCGGGAGGATTCTGGGCCAGGATTCCGGTTCTTGGCTGTCCTGTTTACCACCAGCCTGAATGGCTGGGCAGGTCGTCTCCGCTCCCCTTTGTTAAAATAAACAAGAAACTCTGGCTAAACCCAGCCAGGGCCGCATGAGACAGCCCTTAGTCACAGGGGATCGGGGGACCTACCCCTCCCTGGCAGCAGCCTGGGCTACAGACCTACAGACTGACTCTGCTGGGCAGGAGTCGTCTCCCTCCCATCTGCTTTCCTCCAGACCCTCCACCCCCTCCCACCATCTGCCCACTGGGGTCCCATAGAAGTTGTCCCCAGTTTTGGTGACGTCCTAGGGGCGCCCCTGGCGGCCCGCTAGTGGGGAGCTGAGATCAGTGTCCCGCAAGGCGAGCGAGTTAGAGGGGCGCCAGAGTGTCCTGCGCCCGCACCGGGTAACGGGCCCGCAGCCCCG